TGCATTGCCTCTGACGGCCGCATTGCCTTCGTGAGTTATTCCAGCGGTCTGCTAGTTCAACTGTCATTTCTCTGTGCTTGTGAGTTGTGTGAATGCTTCAACGCAACCACCCCTCATTCTGCCCCTCACGTGCATTGCCTCTGACGGCCGCATTGCCTTTGTGAGTTATTCCAGCGGTTTGCTAGTTCAACTGTCAGTTCTCTGTGCTTGTGAGTTGTGTGAACGCTTCAACGTAACCACCCCTCTTTCTGCCCCTCACGTGCATTGCCTCTGACGGCCGCATTGCCTTTGTGAGTTATTCCAGCGGTCTGCTAGTTCAACTGTCAGTTCTCTGTGCTTGTGAGTTGTGTGAATGCTTCAACGCAACCACCCCTCATTCTGCCCCTCACGTGCATTGCCTCTGACGGCCGCATTGCCTTTGTGAGTTATTCCAGCGGTCTGCTAGTTCAACTGTCAGTTCTCTGTGCTTGTGAGTTGTGTGAATGCTTCAACGCAACCACCCCTCATTCTGCCCCTTACGTGCATTGCCTCTGAGTCTGACGGCAGCATTGCCTTTGTGAGTTCCTTTCTCCGAGGCTAGTTTTTAATAATATGGTTCCATTCCATTTTCAAAGCACAGCGTATGTTGTGGGCTGTAGCTTGTATATGCACATGTGCCTTTTACTTCTTGTCATGAGAGGAGTGCTTCTTGTGTTGCTTCACCAGTTCTCGCTGTAGCAATTTTTCACTTTTTACATCTCTCCTCTCCCCTCCCTTCCCCTCCCCTCCTCTTCTCCCAGCGTCTCCTCCCCTCCTCTCCTCCATCCCTCTCCTCCCCTCTGCTCTCTCCGTCTTCCTCTTCCCCCCTCTTCTCACGCCCCTCGCACACCAGTTGGACGGAAAAACTGAGATGGTGCACCTCTCTCCCTCTCATTGCACGCAGTGCCCCTTTCCCAATCTGTTATGCTCTCCTCTCCTCCCATCTCTTCTCTCCCATCTCCTCTCCCCCTCTCCCCCTCTCCTTTTCTCGCCCCTCACATACCAGCTGGATGGGGAGACGGAGATGGTGCGCCTCTCTCTCTCTTTGCACAAGGTGCCCCTTTCCCAATCTGTGGCATTCTCTTCCTCTCCCCTGCCCCCCCTCTTCTTCCCCCGCACACAACAGCTGGACGGAGAGACAGAGATGGTACGCCTCTCTCTGTTTGCACGAGAAAACGCTATCGGGTGAGTTGAGATTGTTCGCCTCTCTGTTTCTCCTCCCCTCCCCTTCCCTTCTCATTCACACCCCCTCCCTCTGCGTTTCGTTCTCTCTATCAGGCTCCCTCACTCGCTCTTTTGCCTTATGTCAAGATTACTCCCGTTCCTCTCTCCCACTCTTTCCCCCATTTTCCCTTCTCCCTATCAGCCTACCTCACTCGCTTTCTCGCCTCGTCGACCCATCCATCCGAGCGTCCATCCCGCCTCCCCCTCTCGCAACCTCCTTCAACACCACTTCCACCACCACCACCACCACCACCACCACCACCACCACTACTGCTGCCGCCGCTGCTGCTGCCGCCGTTGCTTCTTCTGGTGCTATCACAGCGATTTCTTCGGATGGGGTGGGTGTGGAGGCGAGGAGAGGAGGGGGCGTGGAGGGTTCTCCAAGACATGAGGGGTCACCCAGTGATGGGGGAGGGGATGCGCTGCGGGCTGTGAGGAGCGAGGGCTTCTTGCCACCAGGGGATGGTGCCGCTGCGTCTGGCTCTCCCTCCTTCCTCCGAGGCACCAAGGTACACTCCAAGGGGCTTCTGAGTCGACTCAAAGGTCACCCAGTCATAGGGGGAAAAGGGGAGGGGATGCTCTGCGGGCTGTGAGGAGCGAGGTCTTCATTCAGCCAGAGGAGCTTTCCCTCCTCCTTTCTTCGCAACACCATGGTACACACGAAGAGGCAGTGGCTGGTGGCAGGGGGTACACTCAAGATACCCCCTTCACATCTCCTCCACAGCTCCCCCGGAGTGCACCCCACTGCCCTCCTCCCAGTCCTCCTTTCTCCCCTTCTTGGTCTCTTCTTTGCTTCTGCAACTCCTCATTTTCTCCTCTTCCCCTCCTCTTACCTCCCCCACACACCAGGTTCTCCGTAGCAGTGCCACCTTCAAGCTCCTTCAAAGCTCCCCCAAAGTGCAGCCCACCGCTCTGCACCCAGCTGCAGACCTCCTTCCCCTCTTTGCCTCCGCGCCCTTCGCCCCCCCTGCCCCTGAAGCGGACGGGGAGGAAGGGGAGGAAGGGGAGGGGGAGGCAGAGGAGGAAAAGAAGCAAACAGGAAGCTTCTCAGAAAGAGGTGAGTGCGTGAAATGTGATGTGGGAGGTAAGATGGGATGGGGGAGGTGAGCTGGAAAAGGCTCCTGAGAACCCAGAGAACTTACGCGGGATGACTTCCAAGTCGATTCCAGTGGGTGGATTCCATATCACATGATATCATTTCACTTGCCTCCCTGTTCTCCCTCTCTCTTGCCCTCCACGCCCCTCCCTCCTTCTCTCGTCCTCCCCTCTCCCTCTTTCTCCCTCTCTCTTCCTCTCTCTCCCTCTCCCTTGCCTTCTACCCGTCTCACAGAGAAACCAGATCTCATGCTTGATACCTCCGTTGGCTGTGACAGTCTTTTGAGGCGCCTAAAAAATCTCCCTCTCTCTCCCTCTCTCTTCCTCTATCTTGCATTGTACCCACCTACCAGAGAAACCAGATCTCATGCTTGATACCTCCGTTGGCTGTGACAGTCCCAGCACACCCGATGGCACCGTTACCACACCGCACCCCGCTGCTACTGGCAAGAAGGGTCTCTTTGGCTTCCACCGCACCAATTCCAAAGGTACAGCTGATTGCGCATGTGTACAGTAATATCCAGTTTGCATATGATAGCACTTTTAAAGTATGCGTGAAGCCATGTTGTTTCTGCTTTCATACAGTTGTGTTATCAGGCGTACACGAGAGAACACTCAGGTTATGAGGCGCCTCCAAACCCCCTCCCCTCTATCCCCCCCCACCCACCCCTCCCTTCTACCTTTCCCCCTTCTCTCCCTTCGCCCCTCACCTCTCCCCCAACCTCCCACCATGACACCAGGTCGCAACAAGGAGAGCGAGGGCGCGTTTGGACCAGGGGCGGTGCATGCAGCCACGCCTCGGCCCAAGTCAACCGAAGAAATTCGAGGGGGGTTTGGAACGCGCCGTCAGCAGCAGGTGAGAGACGGATAGGAGAGGTGGATTTTATGCGCTTTACTTGCTTTGGCAGAGGGCCAGAGGCGTTTGCTTCGGCTGGATGTACCGAACCGTGGCTGATGGTGTTCTATGCCTCATATTGTCTGTTCGTCATGTGGTGTTTCTATTTTGCAGGCTGAGGAGAGCCAATAACGGTATAATTATTGAAATTACGAGAATCAGTAAATGCGTATTGTCTTGGGGCTGTTGCATTGCCATGCTATGGCCTAGCTAACAATCTAATATGGTGCTGAGGCTACACTCCTTAGCTGGTTATGTGAAGCCAAACAGCATGCAATACAACACATGTTTCATAGCACTGTCTTAGCTACCATGTTTAGGGTCCCAATCCACTTGTTATAAGTTCTATGTTTTAATGTTGAGTATTGTAATAAAATTCCCAGTAGGTGTGCATATCCCTGCTACCCCGCCGGACCGCACTCGGTACTGCGAATCCTCGTTCAATCACAGATTCGGGTGGACCACAGCGCGCGAGTCGTTGTGAATAGGACAAGAGTGACGAAATAACAGCGATCTCGTCCAGGTACATTTCTTTCGCACACACGCTTCGAGATAATATCGACGGGGAGCTCCATTTCAGGATTTGGCTTGACGAGCAGGGCGAAAGGATGTGACTGGGAAGGGAGATTCTAACGAGGGGGCACACTTGGGCCAGCTGGCGGACGGCAGCTGCGGGGAAAATACTATGGGGGGGGAGGGGGGGAAAGGAGGTGGGGGGGGGGTGATTGGTGGGGGAGGCTGGCTGGGGTGAGCGAAACAGCTGCCTGGCAGTGGCGGTTGTGAGGAAATACAGGAGGCTGGGGGAGTGTGGGGAGGATCTAGGGGATGGCGGCGGGGCCAAGAGAAAGGCCAAGGGCGGCGGAAAATGGAAATTGGGGAATGAGGGGGAAGAAGCGGAGGTGCGCTGCACTGCAGTCGAGCGCTCCCGCGTCGTTGCGTGATTTTCTTGGTTTTCCTGCGAACTTGGCGTGGTTGCACACACACCTCATTTTCCTGCATGCGGCTCATCACCTAGGTTATTATTTTCTCCAGGCGATTTTGCCCCACACTCAGTTTTTCCTCGACAATCCCAACGACCCGCGCGTCACGTTGTTTTCTTAGCCACCCCACCCCACGTCACACCTCACAGTGGTTCCCTCGGTTTCTCCGCCTCAACGTGACGTGACTGATGAAGCGAAACTCGCAGGTCGCGACTGACGTCGCGATCATGTTATTTTACTAGGTAGTATTGGCGCAGTCGCACGTGACTCAAGGGTAGCTGTTAGCGTTTGCCTCGTGCTGCTTTGAGCAGAAGCCTGGCAGTGTTGTCACGGACCATCCAATCAACCACCTGGACACTTGTCTATTGTCGCCTTTCCACCACCTTGCGCTCATGTGCTTAGCAGCTCATGTTCTACCTCCTTTCAACTAGAACGTTTCGCTCAGCTGACAGTCATTCTCCCACTCCGCTGCTTCCGTAAGACACCATCACTAGACGTTCTCGAGCTGACTGTTCAAGCTACCCTCCGTGTCGTATCGCGGATCGTTGTTGAAATATACTTAAAGTAGACGAGTTTGTTTTTTTCGGTATTACCAGATTCACCATCCCGCTTCTGCTCAGCGTGTCGTCGCTCGTTCGCCCATATCCTCAAGCGTCTGCCGAATCCCAGCCCTCTCCCATCCGCCGTAATCTGCCGCTCATCCCGACGCAGCAACCTTCAGCAGCAAGCTTTCTAAGCAGCAGACTTTTCCAGAAGCAAATCTCTATCTGTCTCAGTCAGGAGTAGCAATGACCTGCTACGCTAGAAGGTTACCAGGGGAGGTGCTCGTTGTTGCGCCGCTCGTAACTGCGTCAGTACTCCTGCTTCTGATCGGCGCGTCTGGCGCTTTCGCGTCCGTGCATCCCGCGGGTCAGGAATCGAGCGAAGGAGGTACGCTCCACACACTAACATACGCACCCGCCTCTCTCTCCACCCCCACCGTCCCCCCCCCCCCCTCCCCCCCACCCACCGTTCCCCCCCCCCCCCCTTGCGCTACTGTAGAAGAAAACGAGTCGGCGATAGGCCCGACCTTTTTTGCTGCTATTTCGGACATGTCGGAATCGATAAACGTCCCGATTTCCCCATTCTCTCTTACTCTCCCTTCCCCTTTTTCTCCCCCAAACCACCACCTATTCTCACTAACACCCCTTCCCCTCTCCCTTTCCGGCCCCGATCTCTCCCCGTCCTTTCCCACCGTTCCCCTGTCGCTCGTTCACCAATTACCACACCCATCTTTCCCGTCCTCCCAGGCGATCCAGCTGTTCATCGTAGATCTCTGGCCGCTGCTACTCTGGGGGCACCGTGCCGCTATGGCGGCAACATCATGCCCATCGAATGCAGCCCGGGCCTCAAATGCCAGCCTGGCAGCTCCACTGCTGTCGCCTCTGAGCCTGCTTCCGGGCCTAACCCGAACCAGCTCGGCAGGCCCGGGAGCTCTGGTGCTGGACCGCGGGGTCTGACTCACAACCCAGACTTCGCAACCACGGGCACGTGCGTTCCTGACGACTCGTCCACGTCATCCCCATCCACATCCACGTCATCTTCATCCAACGCCACGTCACCACTCTCCCAAAATCCATCAACCCCCGTCCCTCCCTCCTCTAGCTCTACCTCTACGCCTCGCCTTGGCCCGGGGCCCCTAGAAAAACCCACCACGTGTGAGTACATGTGTGCTCGCGGGCAGTACCATGGGGAAATGCCGTGCCCGAGGGGGTACACCTGCGTGCTTGCTCTAGAGGGAGGTCTGCACTTATCGCCAGAGGCTCTACAAGCTTTGGCAGATGCCTCCGCTGAAGTTCCTGCTACTACTGACGGCAGTAACAGCAACGACAGCACCATCAGCACTGCTATATCGCCCTTAGGCGTTGTTAGCAACAGCAGCAATGCAGAATTCATCAAGTCAGCAGGCGCTGTCATACCCTACGAAGGGATCTGCGCCCCGAGCCAGTGGTTCGGCCCGAACGCCTCGCCGAAGATACTCTCGGCACCGTCCTCCTCAGTTTCCACCAAGACTGCCTTGGGAGGCTCGGCATCATTGCCTGCTGCCGAACCTGTGGCCGGGGAGGCTGGGAGCAACTGCTCGTTTGGCGGGGATAGTGCTGCTGTCCTGTGCAATCAGGGGTTCTCTTGTCTGGTGGAGGCTGAGAAACGTACAGTGCATCACCCGCAGGTGTTCGGTGTGTGTGTGAGTGCAGAGCTCTGTGATCCATACCTAGAGGAGAAGATTGAGGATGCAGCTGGGACCGGCAGCTCAGGGAAGTCTGCAAGTGCTCGGACGAGGCTGCCAGGCCTGGGAGGATCTAGGCTCGGGATTGCTGGACTCCTTTTCGCATCCCTCTTTTTCCTGTAAAGGGCTTCTTGGGTCCCCTCGGGCTTTTGTGAGGTATAGGCTGATGGAGCCACCTAGGGTTGTGGTTAAGTTGGAACCTGGTTTGACCCTGCAAGTTAGGCTGCTGCTTCATGCTGTCGTTTCTCCCTACTATTGCCTCAGTAGCTGCTCTCTCAAGCTGTAACCCTGTTATGATTGTACCCTAGGTGGTATGCTATTGTTATCAAAGCCTATTTTTGTTGTATTATGTTTTTTTAAACAAGGGGTTTGCTTGGTTGGTAGTAACAGAAACAGAACCTAGCCTGCTCTAGTGCCTGGTGTCTTGTAGTGTATCAACCACCCACTAAGGTCAATACTTCTACCCTATTGGTGTACTCTTAGTATATCAACGGTCAACCACCCACTAAGGTATATACTTCTATTCTACCGTATTGGTGTACTTTTAGTACCTTATATCAACCACCCACTAAGGTCAATACTTCTTCCGTACCATATTGGTGTAGTCTTAGTGTATCAACCACCCACCAAGGTATATAAATCTACCGTATTGGTGTACTCTTAGTGTATCAACCACCCACTAAAGGTCAATACTTCTACAGTATTGGTGTACTAGCAAACCATGCGAATCTTGCAAGCAGCTGTGCCTTTCTAATCGGCACTGATGCAACAACACTATACCGTCGAGGGTGCCTATGCAGCTTCTATCGGGTTCCTATCCTGCTTTTGTCCTGCGCTTATCCAGTGACCCTTCAAGTGTAGGTGATACCGTACCGTCTCTTTCGTGCCCCTCGCAACATCCCCGGCCATCTCTTCATTCACAAACTCTTTATATGCCCTGATCCTCCTTCCCAACAGCTCCCTCCCCTCCTGTCCCCCTCAACCCCGATGCTGCTGCGACCCCCTCGCTCTCACTCCCCCCCATCCCTCTTACACCCGTTCCACCTACTTCCCCTTCGTCCCCTTCTCCCACTTCCTCCCCTCCTTCCTCCTTCCTTCCTTCTTCCCTTTCTTCCCCCTCTCCCCCTTTCTTCCCCTCAGAAGCTGCCCCCCTTTGCTTCCGTAACCTCTCCACTTCCCTTTCAGCCTCTTCCCTCAGTCTCAAAGCTTCTTCTGCCCGTTTCTCTGCCCGGGCAGCCCTTTTTTCTGCTTCACCTGCCCGTTCTTCAGCTGCCCGCATCCTTCCAGTCAGTTCATCCGCCTCACCCACCAGCGACTCTGCCCGGGCAACTTCCTCTGATAGCCTAAACTCCGCCAGGGATACCCTGTCTCTAGCCCCCTCAATCTCAACCTCTAGATCCGTACACCTCAACCTCATCTCCTCCAGCTCAGCTTGCAGACGTGTCACAAGGTGATTGGCCCTATTTTCCACGTCTGCCACCTCAGCTTTGGCCAACTCCACCTGTCCATCTGCTTGCAACGCCTGCGCCCTCAGCCCCGCCGCATTCTCCTCTGCTTCTTGAAGCTTCCACGAAAGCAGCTCCCTCTCCTGTTTCTCCACATCCAACTCTCTCCTCAGCTGCCCGGAAAACTCTTCAGCTGCCCGCAACTTCTCTTCCAGAGTATTAACCCTCTCCCGGGCCGCTTTCGCCTCCCGTCTTTCCTCCGTTGCGCGTTTCTCCGCTTCCGCCGCTGCCAGCTCAGCTTCCTCCTTCAGCTTCCGCGATTCCCGGGCGTCCCGAAGCGCTCTATCAATCTTGGATTCTAACGAGTGGTTACGCGTAACGGCCGCCTGTAGCTGCGTCTGTAGCTCATTCACCATATCCACGTGAGGGGGAGATGCAGGAGGTGGAGCCCGAGCCTCCGGTTCTGGTTCGGCATGCGATCCTAGCTCTGGGACGTCCGAGCCTGCTGGAGGAGGTTCGGCAGCGTTGCGGGACGTGACGTGCGGTTGCGCAGACGCGATGCTGTCGGACCCGCCTTTCTTCCGCCATCGAGTCAGCATACTAGCGGCGTCTACAGGCTAAACTCTTGAGATATGCGAGAGATGGATTACGAATCGACTCAAACGTTGAGGCTGAATCCCCGAGACATGTAAGATTCTTGCGTGAAGCAAGGATTGGTCGGAGCTAAATTCGAGGTCCAAGCTCAAGGGAAGGTCAAAACTAGCAGCCAGTACCAAGTCGGGATGCCTCTATGATGCCTGATAATGTTATTGAAAACCAAGAATACTCAACGCCAGGCAAGGCAGACGACGACGAGGAAGAAAGGAGGACACACGCTAGAACAACTGGGAAAAGCTATGACGTGAGCTTCTAGCCGTTATGACGAGGTGAGGTGCTGCTCAGCATCTGCATGTACGTGGAAACATACTCGTTATAACAAGCTCCTCTCAGAGACGGATGCAGGGTGATTGTGGCTCCGCTTTAGTGATACGAGGTAAGCATCTGCGGAAAAATCCCATTCAATGCATTTCAAATGAATATGCAACAATACATTAGTAGACAAGCAATACAAATCAATGCAACTAGCTATACCCAAGAACCCGGAAACGCCTAACACTTAATAAAGCCATATCAACGTGGAGTCTCCAATTGTGCTTCGCACTGTGTAACCCTTTTAGCATTGACCCCTTGCTGATAGCCCCACGTGCAACAATGCTCCACCACATTTCACATGGATAGTCCTATGTGGCGAAACCCTTCCACGTGGCAACGATGGCACTCAGCATGATCTCATGTGCCTCCTCATCCGTCTGTGTCACACATGAGATGGGATTGACAGGCATCGCATGGGATGGTAAGGCATGGCATGGGATCGCATGGCATCACATGAACATGTAAAATGCATTCACCCATAACGAAACATACACAGGAGGCACATGCACAGGCACATGAACAAGAAGTTGCATAAGGAAATACAAGAAAGCAACTGGAGAGGGAGCAAGAAAACAAGTATGCCTCATGCATGGACACGTGCACACAAACTAAGCAAAGGAAAACAGCAGATTAAGGCCAGGAAAGGATCGAAATGGCTGATCAGTATTATACTCCACAGACTAGCCCCCAAGAACAATCATCCCCCCTACTCCATCATTACCCTCCCTGTAACTGCCCCCACACACACCTCGCACTGCATGCGAATCAAAGCAAAGCTCGGCAAACTCCACCCCCAAAGCTGCCAGCTGCACTCTCCAGCTCCCTCTCTCACACTGCCTTTTGAATCGCCTCCACCCTCCCGTCCTGTCCTTGCCATCCCCACTTACACATGCAGCCCCTTCCCCTTCCACACTCACCTCGCACTGCATGCGAATCGAAGCGAAGCTCGGCAGGCTCCACCCCCACAGCTGCCGACTGATCTTCACCGCCCTCTCCCTCAGCTCCTCCCCCATTCCTCCAATCCCCTGCCGATGCACATACAGCAGCAACCTCGCAATAAACCTCACGTTATCCGTGTGCCTGGGCCATCTATAGAACACCCGCGCGGCCATCCTTGTCGCTACAGCCATTAACAGCTCTGCTACTTCTTTTTCTTTCGGGCAGACCACCGCTACAACCTGGTCGATCCACGCGCTACAGCCGATGAGCATGCGAGCGCGAGATGCTGCGGCAGAGGCTTGGGGGAAGAGGCGGGGCGGGGGGATTGCAGGTTTGTGAGAGGGGGTGCGCGGGGAGGAGGAGGAGGACGGGGAGGAGGCGGAGGCAGGGGAGGAGGAAAGCGGAGGTTTCTTGGCAGTGGAGGGGGTAGATTGGGTGGTTTTAGCGGCACTTAGCTGAGACTCAGCGGAAGAGGCAGTAGCAGGATGGGATTGCGAGGGGGATTGTGCAGGGGAGAGGGCGGAGGAGGAGGAGGAGCGGGAGTGGGATCCGGACTGAGACTGGCCTTGGGATTTGAAGGTGGAAGAGGGGGAAGAGGAGGCGGAGGAGGAAGAAGAGGAGGAGCGGCGGTGGCGGTGGAGGTGTTGGCGTGGGTCAGCGGCCGAGGCAAAGGAGATGAGGAGTCCCTCGAGACCCCAGTCGAAGAGCTCGAGCAGGAAGGGGTCTGGCGGGGTAGCGTCCTGCAGAATGGCCTGCAGTTTGTGAGGGAGGTGAAGAGGGGGAAGAGAAGGAGAGCGGGGGAAAGGGACAGCAAGAGGCGAAGGAGATGAGGAGACCTTCTAGGCCCCAGTCGAAGAGCTCGAGCAGGAAGGGGTCTGGCGGAGCGGAGTCCTGCAGAATGGCCTGCAGTAGGGGGGAAGGAAGGGGCCAAGGGAGGGGAGAAGAGGGTGGAGGTGTGGGCAAGAGTCAGAGGCCGAGGCGACAGAGATGAGAAGACCCTCTGGGCCCCAGTCGAAGAGCTCCAGCAGGAAGGGAACTGGCGGAACAGTAAAATGACGGAGATGGAAGGAAATGGAAGGAGATGGAACAAACCTTGAAGCTTCCTCTGACAGCCTTCCCCCACATGGGCACCAGCGCACGGTGCTCGCGCCTCTCCTCCTCCAGCAGGCTGCCAATCGCCTTCCACTGCGCCCAACCCACCTCCACCTCTGGATACTCCACCTCCCTCGCCCACCTCGCCACCGCCTCCTCCTTCCTAGCAGCCCTCTCCCTCCTCCTCTCCGCCTTTCTCTCCCTCCGCTCCTCCTCTGCCCGCTCTGCTGCACTCGCCCCGCTGCGAGCCCCCATCCCGCTGCCGACCTTGACGATTTCATCGCTTTCCCCGGCTTTCCCGGGTCCTTCTGGGACGACCACTGACAGCCGGTGCCGTGCCTTGGCACTTAACGACCTGCTGCCGTCCCCCCCTCTTCCTTCCCCTCCTCTGCCTTCTTCTCCTCTCCCATTTGCCCTCCCCTCTTCATTCTCCCCCTCCTCCTCTGCCTCTTCTTGGATCCTCCCACACCTCTCTCCTACCCCGCTCTCCCTCTCCCTCACACGGCCACTGCCCTTCCCGTCATCCCCACTCCCTCTCTCCTCATCACTCCCCGCGCTCTCCTCGCTCTCCTCGCTCTCCCCACTCTCCAAGCCATGCATCAGCAGCGGTTCAATAGACACGCGCATAATCACCTTCGCACACAGTAACTTCGTCTCTTGCAACTCCTCCTCTCCAACTCCCCACCTCCCCTCCCTCACTCCTTCCTCCTCCTCATCCTCCTCCTCTCCCTCCTCTCTCTCCACCTCTTGCTCATCTTCGTCCCCTGGCAGTTTAAATAAAGTACTTAGCTCCAAAAACCCATTAGCCAATTCATAAGCCCATGGATACTCTAATATCCGCTTCCCCAGTTTTCTCCATCTCCTCCTCCTCTCCCTCTCCCTCTCCTTCCTTCTCGCAGCACCACCCACACTACTCATCCCCCACACCCCCTCCCTCTCCCTCTCCCTCTCCCTCGCCCATTCCTTACCCTGGATTGGCTCCAGCAGTGCCGAACCAAACACCGAAGCAAACTCCCTCCTTGCCGAGCCTGTCCGTGCCCGGAGCAACGCGAACCTAGCAGCTGCTAATAGCCTAGCAATCCGCTTCGGAACAGGTTCGGCACCATTGGGAACCAGAGCCAGCCGAACCGTCTCCCTCACCCCCTCAGGATCATCATACGTCGAAGCGCAGGCTCGGATGCGGATCCGAACCGAAGCCTCGCCGAGCCTGAGCTCCTCGGACCGGTCTGCCAGCAGCCAGAGGTCGTCTGGGGCTAGGTTCGGCAACCGAGCCGCCTCGGTAGCTATGAGGAGAACCAACAGCCCCGGACCTCCAGCCGAGGAAGACACCAACACGCCGTCTAATTGCCGAAGCTTAGGCGGGCTGGCAGATTGCGGGAGGGGCACTAAGAGGGGGTGACTATACTGAAGGTCACTGTCGAAATCCATACTGGGTGTTCGGCTGGAGCTGGTGGTGGTAACAGCAGCAGCAGGCATGTGTGCACCGAATGCACCCATAATGCTGGATGATGATTGGAGGATGGAGCGGAGAACTGCCAGCTCAGCAAGCTCGACCAATGGGGCAGGGCCAAACCCGTCCCCTCCACCAGCAGCAGCAGCTGATGCAGCGGCAGCAGCGTCGAACCGGGCTTTGGACGGCGGAGGCACGACGGGAATCGGGCAGGCGCTCACGAAACTTCTCTGCCTGCGATGCTTTTTTTTCTGCCCGGACGGGCTGCTAGGAACCATAGAATCTCCCCCCATGCCATGATGATTATTCCCCTGAACATTCCCCTGATTCGGATCCTCCCCAAGCAGTGCTACCTGCCAAGCAGCTTCCTCCAGCCCCCCTCCCACCTCACCCAACCACTCTCCACCGCCACTCACCGCGCTCCCCGTCCGGCCCTCTCCTATCCCCCCCTGCACGTCGCCCCCCATTCCCCACTGCGACCGCCTGTTGCTGGTAGGGGAATAACCCATGGCTCCTCGAGGGGAATAACCTATCATTCCCGCACCAGTGGACCCAGAGAAACCCATAGCACTGCCACCAGCAGAGCCAGCAAGAAGAGCAGCAAACTCCTCATCGCCCCCAAACGACTTGATAAACGACACTTGCCCCGTTGGGGTAGGCGCAGCCACAGCATCCCCATACCCCCCATATCCCGCATACCCCGCATTCCCCCCATACCCACCATAACCAGCCGCGTAGCTCGCGCCCGGCCGTTTCCTAATCTGGCACTTGAGAGCAACCGCATCAACCATGTCTAGTAGGCACTGCAGCACAAACTCTCGACACTCCTGCGCCTCACTCGCGTTCTCCCATTCCGCCACTGCCCCTCCCGTGGTCGTCGACCCCACCCCGTCCCCACACCCGCTCCTCCCCCCCCCCCTGCTCCCCCCAGCTCTACTCCCCCCGCCGGTTCGGCTTCCCCCTGTTCTGCTCCCCCCGGGGCCAAACCCCCCAGGCGTTCTGCTCCCAGGCCCTGTTCCGTTGGTCCACCCACTGGCCATACTCCCAGGACTAAGCGACTCTTCATCCTCATCCTCCGAATCCTCCTCCTCTTCGTCTGAATCCAAGCCTCCGTGCTCGGCTCGGCCGCCGGGCCTGCCGTGCCGAGCCTCCAGCTTCTTGCCGTACCGAGCCTCCCAGTCCTGCTTCCCGAGCCTGTCCAGCAGCCGGAGCACACAGACAGCTGCGGTGGCAGGCTGGTGGCCCGCCGCAGCTGCTGCCAAGCCTAACAACCGAACCACATCCACGTGGAGCGGCGCTGGGTTCGGAACTGGCTCCTCTGCCATCACCGAGCCTCCCGGCCCTGCAACCATGATTCCCGCTACCAAGCCAGGAGCCAAGCTGGCAGGTCCGGCCGAACCAAGCCCCAGGGCAGCACCACTTTCAGAGGATATCCCCATTCTACCCATCATATTTGTAATCATATCCGACTCTCTAACACCAACTCCCACACTGAAAGTGCTAACAGTACTTATAGTACTCACTGTGCTGATACTACTCCCAGGCCCTCCCCATAACCCACTAGCGTCAGTACTACTGCTGCTACTGCTGGCACTGCTGCTACTGCTGCTGCTCGCCCCATCTGCTCCCGCTGCAGCAGCACTAGTGTAACCATTGCCACTCCCTGTGCGGATCCCATACCCACCACCGGTGCTGCTCAACACAGCAGCTTCGGCACAAAACCTACTGCTTCCGAGCCTCCCGATGTTGCTTCGGCTCTTGCGAAACTCCCGACCATCCTTTGCCAAACCTCCCAGCCTCGCTTCCTCCTGGCCAATCGCACCGGACCCCACCCCTTGAGATGCCTCCGCACTCCCTATCATCCCTCCCCCTGCTTCTCCTCCTCTGCCCCCCGCTGCAACGCCCCTTGCTCGTGCTGCCGCAGTCATAGGCCCAGGGGTTGCTACAGTAATCTGCCGCCCACTGGAAGCTTCTAGAATCTCTTCCAGCAGTTTGTCTTGTAGCTGCCGCCCCGCCTCGGCCCGTAACGTAGCTTCGAACGCCGAGCCTACCACCGAAGCACCACCCAGACCTGAGCCCTCGGTATGGTAATCCTCGTTATAGTGATACCCATTCATCATTGTCACATCCTTATCTTCTGCACCTGCAGGGTCATCAATCTCTAAAGGTTCAACAATCGTCACCATACGCTCTCGCTTTGGTCGGCTTCCTTCATCCGTTTCAGTCTCAACGTCGACACTGTTCACAATGCTGTCATTTACACCTGAGGAAAATCCTAATATCTTCTCCTCCTCCCCTAAATCAAGATCCCCAAATTCCTCTTCCTCTTGTATCGCCTCCACCCCACCCCACAGCCCCATCCCTCCCCCCCTCCCCCTCTCCCCTTCCCCACTCCAATCACTCCCTCCATCCTTCCCACCTCCCCCGTCCGCTCCTCCCCCGTTACTATCACCATCACTCAAATCAACAGAGAAAAAGTTCCCCACATCTACAGTATCGCTTTGCCCTATCGAATCAAGCGACGACAATAGGTGCTTCCCTCCCCGCCCAGCCCCCCCATCCCCTATCACCCCTCCCCCACCCCCTCCTTCCCTAAACGACCTCCCTCCATCTTTCAACGACCCTTCCTTTAATGAGCGTTCTCTAAACGAGCGCCCGCGTTCCTTCATCGACCTAGCCTCTCTTAAAGACCGGCTCTTGCTCATCGCCCTGCTTCCCGAGCGACTCAACCCTCTTCTTTCCGCGCAGCTTCCCGTGTTCTCCACGTGACTTGTGCTCCTAAAGCCCCCGTCCCCGCCTCTTCCGCCGCCTATCCCGCTGTCACCCCCACCAAACGTTGCGTTACGGAAGCCCCCATTGCCCCCTCCGCTGATCCCCCCCGCCGCATCATGATTCCCGAATCCTGGAACAAAACTTTCCTCCTTGACCGGACTCCAGATTCCCACGTTCCCCCCGCCTGCTCCCCCTCCCCCGACGGGGGACTCCAGCCCCAGCCCGCCATGGCCCTCGAGCCCGCTTCCGCCGCCGCTGCCCCTTCCGCCTCCGCCCACTCCCCCGCCAGTGCCAACCATTTCGGCTCCGCCTGCCCCGTGCTGCACAGGCGGCTTCCCCCACTCCTTCCAAAACTCCACCCACATAGCCAGCCCCAGTACAAACACTTCTTCTACTTGTAACGGATCCAACCCTACCGGAGGCAACGGGCCCACGTGTGCTAGGGTTTGCTCGGACGCGCCTGTTACCCCGAAAGCCAGCGCACTCAACCCCGCGAAATCAAACCCCCCGGTAGCATTCTCCACTTCCCCTTCCCCCCGCGCCTTCCTCCGCGCGCGCCGTCGCGCCTCCGCGGCCGCTACAGCTGCGGCGGCGGCTGTAGCGGCTACAGATGCGGAGACCGTCTGAATAGTCGCCACGAGCCAATCGTATTCCGCGCGGGCTAGGCGCAAAAGCGCCGCTTCTAGAACCTCCTGTGCCTCCCGCGACGTCACCTCCCCCGCCCGCTCCACCGCCAATGCCACCAATCGCCGCGTGGATAGGCGCTTCAGCGGCCCTTGCGGTACCATCTGGTCCTGCTGGAGCGCTGCGGGCGCCGGCGGCGCCGGGGGTCGCGGCGGGAGTCCCGCTCCGCCGCTAAGGTAGCTGCTTCCGGTGGTGGCGAGGACAGGTGCGGGAGAGTGAGAGTCAGGAAGGCGGAAGGGGGAAGGGGAAGCGGAGGCGGCGGATGGGGAGGTGGGGAAATCCGGGAAAGGGGAGGGCGTGGCGTTATACGAGGAAGGCAGCGGAGAGTTCTGCTGGAGATCTGAAGAATAGTCGTCGCCGTCTTTGTTGTCGCTATCTGCGTCGCGGTTCTCGTCGTGGTCTTGCTCGTCAGCAGCCGAGAGATCTGACGTGGCGACGACCGCGGCGCTGGAGATCTTCTCGACGTATTGCGTGAGGAGATTAGAGACCGCATCGTGGACCCAGTCCTCCTCGGTTAGGAGATTTTCCAAGCTTGCAAGCGAGGCTCGGGCTGATTCCGATTCGTTCAGATGAGGCGAGGAAGGTTGATTGAGGGTTGGAAATGAGGGTGCACCGAGATTCGCTGGTATTGCGAAGTCCGAGTAGGGCCATTCTCCCGCTGTCGAATTCGCCTGACCCATAGCGAATTCGAGGAACGCAGGACGAAAATCAACCGCTACAGCAATTAAGAGCAAGTTCGAAGAAAGGCGTCGTCTTGATAGGTAGGAGGCCACCTCATAGTTCCCAAAAAAGAAGGGTGGCACGAGAATGATGCTAACAGCCGGAGGCTACACAACCAGCTGCTGGAAAGGCTACATAAGAACTACTTCACCGAACAGGCAAATCGGCGGTAGCAAGAGAGAAATACTATCAGTCGTAGCATACAGAACCAGCAGCTAGAAATGCTTCACAGTATGGCACGTGCGTGGTTTAAGATTCGACAATGACAAGGAGAAAAGGCATGAGCAGGGTGTAAAATACCTGCTTGCTAACGCACAGGCTCCTCCGTACATATCGCAATTCTGAATGGAAGAGCAAAAACTACAACGGTTGAGTTGGGGTGGCTGGATGCATCTGTTGGGTTTGCCTTGCCATGCCGAAGTTCTAGGGATTGCCGTGCAGCTCTTCCTTACCATCCGTGACGGAGACAGTTACATCGTCCGTCAAGTTGCTGTCCCAATTTAGCCTGAGCAGCAAGGAGCCACACGATTTGTTTCGTTCCGTCAACTCTGCCATCGGGCGATGCGGGGATTCTGGCGCGCTTACGGAGGCGAAGCACGAGCCCTTCTGACAAGAATGACATCCCGCCCTTTGGGCAAGAACAAATCGGGTTGGTCAATAGTATTCTTGTGCGAAGTCAAGTACAGTATATTCCCGTTCAGTTACAGACTCGCCGAGTTCGTCAGGCAAAAAAACCCACTCGGGCAGGTCTGCGGCTTGCGCAACCAACAATGAGCGCCGAGCCAATGAATCGGGGTGCGCGGAAACACCAGGGTGGGAAACGGGGACATCCCTGGTGGTGTCTATGTGTAACCATTCAGTACATACCATTTTCTGCCATGCATTCATGGTGTAGCACCATTCTGTCCCCGTTTGCCGCAGCACAGGGAGTTCGGCATGGCATTGGATACCTCGAATCCTGTATGTTCTGAGTGGGTGCGCGGAAACTCGCGTGCGCGGAAGGCCCAACAGCACGCACAGCAGGGGAAGCTCGAGGGCTGATCACCGCGGGGAAACCCCAAGCGCTCAGCAGCACACACCAGGGGGAGCTCGAGGGCAGCAGACTTGAGGCATGCCTGACCCAAGTGAAATAGCTACGATAGGCAGCAACAACTCTGGTAACTCTGTTGTAACCAGCTCAGGAATCGCATCCAGACCGTTGAATTAGCTGTTTTTTTTAGCGAACCAAAACCACCAAGTGATACATAAAGGTAGGCAACTGGAACACAATCCCAATGGCCTTTCTTGCTGTGTTCAACACCTTTGTCCTTTATAAGGCCTCAAGCCATTTACGTCCTCTGTTCGGTCCTAACGCTGTTTAGGTCTTGTCGTGGCTCCAAGCTGCCTGGCTGTACGGAACGACTGCGTAGCTGCGTAGGGAACGCATGTTCAGTTAGGCCGTAGACGCGATACGGATGCGTTTCCTAAAAGAGCGAGCCTCGTTGCAGTCGAGGCAGTTAAAAGTCTCCGTCCTCGTGCACTTATTTTGATTAACTAGCAAATACTTTATATTTCCACAGTTCACTTCTGGTTCTTAAGATTAATCCTTTCGTCAAGAGCTTAGGGTTTAGTTGAAAGAGCTAAGATGGAAATGGAGGACGGGGAACCGCCACGTATCGCACCTGCTTACACTCCGTGCGCTTTCGAAGGGGAGTCGCCTGGGCCCCGGTGCGGTCACACGCTTACCGCCGTCGCGCCTGTCGGAGAGCCTGGCAGCGCGAACTACATCGGTCCGCGACTAATCCTATTTGGTGGAGCGACGGCGTTGGAGGGAGGCGCAGGTCCCGCGGCAGGAGCAGCAGCCGGAATACGTAAGTCAGGACGCGCGGCGAGGACCCTCGTTACGTGGCTGCTGGATCGGTTTTAAGCTGAAACTTCGTCAAAGACCAAGATAGTGTTAGGCAATTTCGCGACGGTGTCCTATTTCATTAAGGTTAACATTTACTAGCATAGAAAATGCTGGTTACCGATCGTGCCTTGGAATGAGCCTACGCTCGCTTGTAACAAGCGCTTCTTCCTATTTTTTAATGATCCCATCCTTCTTAGTCACCAACTCGCACACTCACTGCCGGCCTGTGACGGCCAAGCTCTCTCCTTTCTTCCCAGTGCGTCCTAGTTTTCCAGATTCTTCAGTTTATTTTCGCGTATTCTCTTCAGGAGCTGCTGCTGAGTGTGCTGTTTATGCGTCACCGCTAGGCGTGGGAAGCAGCTTGACTCGACTCAAGTGCTCTCATTATAATAAACGATTCGCCCTTCGAGTTTCCGCGCTCTTTTGCTGCTTCCTTTTCTTCCGTCGGTTTTTCAGGACTGGCCGGAGCCACGGCGGACGTGCATTGCTTCGACGTCAACTCGCGGACATGGAACAAGTGAGTGAGCGCTTCCGCTCGGTTTGGCGCGGTTTGCTTGGGAGTTACTGATTGTTGATTACGCTTCGTCTGTACCGGGAAATCAGAGGAAAAATAAACACAACGTCAAATTTAGAACACCAGATGGTGCAACGGAGGCCCATCCGCGCAGTTCATCTGTCCAGCACATGCGCATATTTTTCTCACGTTATCAGTATGTTAGGGTTGTTAACTGCCGTACTTAACTACCTACCTAGCATCTCTTCCGCGTTTCCCTTCTCCCCCCAGGCTAATACCGGGCAGGCGAGCCTCCTTCTGCGGGCCTCCTTCCCCGCAAGCAGCACATGCACTTTTAAGGCGCCTAAAACCATTTCCCTTATCCTTCCAGGCTCTCTCCGGTGGGTGAGCCTCCCTCCCCGCGAGCGGCGCATGCGGCGACGGCGGTGGGCACGATGGTGGTGATTCAGGGCGGCATTGGGCCGGCAGGCCTCGCCACTGACGACCTGCACGTGCTGGACCTCACTCAGGCTCGACCCAAGTGGCATAGGTGCGCCTTGTAATGTTGTAATTGTTGTGCTTTTGTGATATCGTGCTGCGCGCAAGCACAAGAGCAGCATTGAGAGCATCAGCTTTCACACAGGATTGTGTTTGGTTGAGGGCCGTTTCTTATGTTGTTCCTGTTGTGGTGGGTGGTGTGGCGTGTGCTTGTAACGAGCAGAGTGGTGGTGCAAGGAGCGGGCCCCGGGCCTCGATATGGTCACGTCATGGCGCTCGTGGGGCAGCGCTTCCTGCTCTCCATCAGCGGAAACGACGGTGAGAGGGATGCGCAGGGCCTTAGCTGTTTTTGCTACAGCCGGAGGTGTGATTTGGCGCTCGTGAGGCCGTGCTTCCAGTGTTCCAAAGGGATGGGGAATGGGATGGGGAATGGGATGGGTAGTGCTGGTGGTGTTGAAGCGCCTGCAGGGTCTAAGACGCTACTTGCTTGTTCTACTGTATCAGCTGTGGTGTGTTGAACCTCCTAAATTTTCTTTTGTGTGTGTGTGGATCATTCTTTCGCTCTGCAGGCAATCGGCCGCTGTTGGACGTGTGGTCGCTGGACACGGCAGCGAAGCCGTACGAGTGGAAGAAGCTGGACCCCGAGGGCGAGGGGCCGCCGCCCTGCATGTACCTTTGAGTCAACCCAACACCTCCTCTGACCTCACCTCTTCCCCCTTTCCCCCAACTCCTCCTTCCCCCTTCCCCCTGCAGGCAAGCGGCCGTTGTCAGACGTGTGGTCGCTGGACACGGCAGCAAAGCCGTACGAGTGGAAGAAGCTGGACCCGGAAGGGGAGGGGCCGCCGCCCTGCATGTATGCCACTGCCAGCGCCAGGCACGACGGGCTGCTGCTGCTGTGCGGCGGCAGAGACGGCAGCAGCGTGGTGAGTTGTGTTGCGCGTGGCATGAGAGCAGTGGTGAGCTCCTGAGTGGACCCACACACCCCTTTCTTTCTCTAATCCCTACTCTTTTGTGCTTTCTCTGTTCCCTCCCAATGCGTCTCTCTGTAAAAATCGCCCTGCTACTTCCGCCTCCCCCTCCCCCTTTCCCTTCCCCTATTCCACTCCATATCACTCCAGCCTCTACCCGGGGCGTTTGGCTTGGCGCGTCATCGGGATGGGCGGTGGGAGTGGGCTGTGGCGCCCGGCGTGTCCCCATCGGCGCGCTACCAACACGCTGCTGTGAGTTTATCCATACCGTGCTTGAGTTACTCTCTACTACCAGCCACTACCTGGGGCATTTGGCTTGGCTCGGCATCGGGATGGGCGGTGGGAGTGGCCTGTGGCGCCCGGCGTGTCCCCTTCTGCTCGCTATCAACACACGGCTGTGAGTCGTTAAACATCGGTTGTCGCATGCTGTGCTTGAGTTAATTTGTAGCAACATGCTGTTGCAACTCTCTGCTGCATGCATGCCGGCACGTGGTAGCATCACATGTGACTGCTTGTCTGGCCGTGACTGTGTGTAGC